CAGTATAATGATTAAGTACTAGGATGCAAACCCTAAGATGCAAAGTTTGAACACACAAGTAGCTCCATGGGAAACAAGACCTGGCAATCTGTTCCCATAAAGATTAAAAAACCAAACCAAACCCACTGCCACTGAGTCAATTCTGACTCATAGCGACCCTTTATAGGGCTTCCTAGTCTGTCAATCTTTATAGAATCACACAGCCTCATCTTTCTCCCTTGGTTAGCAGTCACCGGTGCTTCTTCCCATATAGATTACAGTTCAGGAAATCCAGTTGGGCAGTTTAAAACTGTTTAATGGAGTTCTGGTGTGGCAATGCAGGTTAGTGTGCTGGCTTTGAACCATAAGGTCAGGGGTTCAAGCTCACCAGCCACTCCTCAGAAACCCAATACAGAGTTGCTATACCTTGGAACCAACTCAACAGCTCTTAACAACAACAACAACACTGTTTTATAGGGTTGCTATGTTGTTATTTGTTGTTAAGCAGGGTCAACTCCACAGCATTGAACAACAATCCATTCAAAGGTGGAAATACTAAAACAAACCTTGGGAATGTTTATCACCAAAGTGAGGATAATGGATATTCCTAGAAAAAAGAAGAATAAGAAAAAAAAGTACTCCATTAAGAATAGAGAAGATAACCTCCAGGCTACCATCTCATGTGTTTTTTGTTTGTTTTTTTAAAGGAAGTTAAGCATAACTGTGTGAGAGAGAATATTTTTCACTATACCCATACGTTTTATATAGTCTTTTGTGAGATGTAGTTCACAGAAATAATGACCATTCAGATTGACCAGTAGGTGCTCGGGAAACCGTTTACCACACGGAAAAAATTTAAAGATGAAAAACTTTAAAAAATCATTTTCTTTTAAACTATGTCCTAAATGCATTAGGGAAATTAGTTACTTAAATAATTGATACAATTAAATTCATTTTTTAAAAACTAAAGATGGTTTTCTAAGGGGAATAATCATCTCCCAACATTACGACCTAGAAAACTGTAAGGGGCAGATCTCTTCTGTCACATGGTGTCGCTATGAGTCAAAAACCAACTCTACAACACCTAACCACCATCCCCCAGTTCATCTGTTTTGGAGGGACATGTTAGTGCATATACTGTCAAACACATACTTACCAGCTTTTCAAACATATAATATACAATGTTAATCAATTACACTGCCTGGCATGTCAAGACAATAAAAAGCAAATTTATTAACTTAAATATAAAATGACTGCACTATTTTATAATTACTAGCAATAATAATTTATGTAAATAATACATGGATATGAAGCATACTTCATACTATGTATTTAATGGAAAGCATTGAGGTGGGGGACAAGGAAGATCATTGAGGTGGGGGACAAGGAAGATAGAAGATAAATCATCTTAAGTTTTAAAGATAAAAAGTTTTTTTAAATTTCTTTCACACTGTTAAAGGGAATCCAAAGAAAACTTTTTCCCTTTGAGTTCCTGTGCAAGTATTTTGTTATTCCGTATTTATATACTTGGCATAGTCCACTCCATACTGTGAGTCAATTCTCAATGGGTCTGCCCTGTTTTTCCAGGTCTCACAAGTTTTCCACCTTTGACAAGGTACAGTCTACAGTCTTATTCCTTTCATATCACTCTGTTTTAGAGCAAAATACCCAAGTTTCTCTTCTGTGACAGGTTTCTACAATACAGAGGTCTTGGTTTTTGCAGGTCTTACTGTATTTTTTGCAGGAGAAAGATGAGGCTTTCTACTCCCGTAAAGATTTACACCCTCGGAAACCCTGTACAGGGTCGCTATGGGTCGGAACCGACTCGATGGCACTTAACAACAACAACAACACTGTATTTTTACCTTATCTCTCACAACAGGTGAGAGCTATGAGTGAAAAAGAATTTTACCTGGTTCATCTCTGTGCCCACAAGTGTACCTTGCTTATGGCCTTTCATGATGGACCCAAAAAAGTCTTTAACTCACAGTGAAAATGACTTACCACATGACTGATAAAACATGATTTACTTCCTTCATTCATAACCCATGATAACACCTGAGTTTAAGTATTCAAACTACAGGCTAGAAAGTGTTCAAACCCCCCCATTTCTGGATCACTAGGGGAAGCCTTGGAGAACTCTTCTACACGTGGAGCATCACCCATTACCATATAAAGCAGGAAGTAATGAAAAGCAAAAGAGAGATGTTTATCTTGATATATTTTTTCATTCCTTAAGGACTGTTTTTAGCCTATGGCTTCGCCTTGGGTGAAATAATGTCAAATGGTCTAGAGAAAACAGAAAAAAATGCCAACTGGTTTCTGGGTTACTTACTAAATCCTTTACACAGTTACTCATAGGACCTATATAAATATGAATCGGGTGGTTGGCCAGCGGCTGGTTTTCAGCTCTAAACAATGGCATGAGAAATCAGGTGAATACACTGAAAACTCACATCATATAATAAATACTACTCAATATTAAAATCAATGCATATGAGTGGAAGCTCTCTTTTTTCAGAACTTCAAGATGGCAACCTGACAAGACAACCATGAGGTGTTAGAGGCTCTTAGCACCTCACCTTGATAAAGGCAAGGTCCTTGCAGATACCTTGCTTACTAAACTGGCTTTACCAATAAATTAAGAGGGGGGCTAATTAAAAATGTCATGCAAAGCTAATTATGTTGTTTGTATGTGCTGTCATCTCTTAAAAAGCAAGGCATTTAAACGAGATCTCATTTTGACACTTGCTCCATCCTAGGTCATTTGCTCACTGTGGCTTGTCGGGATTATTTAAATTCAGAAGCAATATTTGGTTGACAAGTCTCTGCACTGCTGCAGGCTATACTCCTCACACAGTGCCTGAAGGGTTATTACAATAGAGGGTGTCTACAGAGGACAACAAAGCAGTCTTACCCCCTCCCGAAGGCACCTCATTAGCACTGTGTAGGCAGCCAAGGGAACAGGCCAGCATTCTCTAGGGTTCTTTTTTTTTTCTTCCTAAAATGAAGTAGAAGGAAAGGAAGTGAAGCTAGCAGCACAAAAGATATTAACCTGTTCAAGAAAAAGGCACAGCCTCAAAAATACAAACGATCTAAACTTCTTAATACTCTATTTAAAGTTCTACTTAACTACTTGCTGGTTATAACCTAATCATGGGTCTTTTACTGCATGGTACACACCAGTTACCGCTTCTGCTTCTCATTACACTACATGTGATGCTAAGCTCCTCTCATCAGAAGCTAGACAAGAATAATTGAGAAATGACAATGTGATCTGATGGGCAGAGAAACCACTTAATTAATAACTGTAAGTGATCATACAGATACCTCTATATTAAAATATCACATTATCTACAATGATCTGGAAGCACAGCTTTAAGCAATATCTCAGGATAATACGCAAGTAAAATGCAGTATGTTATCCATTAAGACAATGTCCTTAAAAAAATAATAATAAGCAAATGTGGTTAGCAGGCTTATTTTTTTAATTTAATGACATCAGTAATAATTCTCTCACACAAGATTAACCAAATCCATGTAATAACAAGAACACTCCTGCAAGCTATCAAATAAAACTCACAATATAAATCAAGTGCCACAGAGAAAGGCAGGAGAAAAAATTATTGCTTTCCTTGCAGAAGAAATTAGATTTTACTTGGGAAAATATTTCTTTAAGGTTGTCTAAATTGGCATGTCCCTGATCTGAAAGTGTTTTATGTCTATGATGAGAATTACAGCACATGAAAACTATATTCTAATCACAAAATTAGAATACGTATGGACATACTGTGGACATTCCCATCATTAGGAATTGCTCCAATTAAAAAGTCTGTTTTAATACGCTGGACCAGTCATTCCTTGGAAACCCTATACAGCATCACTCTGGATAGGAACTGACTCGATGACATTTAACAACAACAATGCAAAACCCAAATTAACTTCCAAATACAACAATTCTCCCATCACTCACTTGTTCAACTAATTCTACCACAATCTTTCATTATCATTTACTGAACTCTGGTCTACTGACCCCTTTTCTTTTCCTGTGTCCATTACCTTCTTTCCCTGCCAGCCATTAAGTCTCTGTAAAAACACAGTCAGGTTTTCTTTCTTCAAGCTTAGAACTTAAGGTGTTACTAGAAAGCCAACAGGACAGGACTTAAGTTTGTATGGAAAATTCTCATACACCGTATATTATTTCAGATCAGACCCACTAGGTCAGCAACAACCTAAGATTTTAATGTTTACCTAAGTTCAAAATCCTGGGGTGCCACTGTAGGTTAATACACTGAACCACAAAGGTGGGTTGAACTGTAAGGCTGACAGTTCAAACTCACCAGCTGCTCCTTGGAAACCCTATACAGGATCATTATGAGTCAAAAGTGACTCAAGGGCACTTCAACAACAACAACAACATATTCAAAGCAACCAATCCATAACCGCTCCACAACACATGTCTTATGAAAAGTGGTTTTTATAGATCCATAACATAACTCCCTTTAATAGCCTGCTGTCTTAAAATGTGATCAAAGGTCGAAGCCACGCAATCATCCATTTATGAAAACAGTCTAGCTAAAGTCCAATTAAGTAAGTACCAAAATAAATTGCTGTTTATATCTACTTTCAGAAAGGATTAAGAATACATACTATAGGATTCATTTACACAAAATTCTAAGAAATGCAAGCCAATGTATAGTGATAGAAAACATCCAGTAAGATGGCAGACTAGGCAGATGTACTACACGGACTCTGTACAACAAAGATGTGAGACATGAAATGAAACACACACAGATGGAAATTCAGGAACCCGGAACTTCAGAGGAAAGGTTAGAGAAGTGGAATAAGTGCTTGCTGGGAGAAAAGCTGAGAAGCGATAGTGAGAAAGGGTTATAGACTAGTGAATGGTCAGTCATTTGGGGCACAACCATGTTTTGAGCAGCTTTGGCAAAAGATGGTGGCCTGGCAGAGCAGATTCACACAGGCGATGGGACAGGTGTGATTCCTCTTTTTGCCATGCTCCCCGAATGGCCTGATGGGTGTTCAGTTACCGCCCTCATCCATTCCCAGTATAGACTCTCCAAGAGGTCAGAGCCATGTGGTTGGAAGCCATGCCAATGTGCAGCATGGATCAACTGCACCACTTTAACATCTGGATTCAGGTGGGCTCAGCTCCAGACCCACAGAACCCCCAAAACCACCAGACCACAGTTTAACCAGTCACCCTGCTCCCAGCTTCCCTGTGGTCCTAATAATCACTGAAATGAACTCCATTAAGGATCTCCAAAATCTACTTTTGGATTCAGTCTCTCAACACAGATAACACTAAGGCCAATAGGAATGAATAGGCCATATGGGACCAGAAACTGCTGTCACATCCTTCTTGGACTGCAGGAACTCCCCAGAGCTTTCTCCTCTCAAGGCACAAGAGCTGCACCTTTATTTGTTTTCTTTTACTTTTTTTTTTTTTTTTTTACATTGTTTATGTTTATTCTTT